ATAATGAAATGTACGTAGTTTACATTGACAGTTTCCTTTATAAGCAAAGTTCATATTCTAACACAATAATGTCTAAACCTTTGACATTTGTCGAGATAAGCTTCTGACATTTATTTGATACAATTTGCAAAATCTGTTTGTGGGAGAAAAAAAGGGCGTATGAAGTTTTTTCTTTGTAATCTTTTATCTTAAAAGCCATTTCGCATAAGCGGCGACTACGTTACATAGAACACTGCTCAATCGTATCTCACAGAACTCGTGTTATATTGAATATCTGATTACAGATGAAGTATTAACAGATATTCATTCATTTAGTTTAGGCTTTAATCTTGAACAAAAACGAAATCTAGAATATAAATTTCCATTATATCATTCTGAAACTTAAACTAGCAAAACACAAAATCAATTCTTGCACGAAGCTATGATCGAATACACGAACTTGATCTTTGTAGACGAACCAATTTTGCTGTTCTTTTCTATATTCTAAAGCTTTTTGTTCAAGATCTCACTGGAAAAATTCAACATCTTGGTTATAAGAAGTTTCACGGTCAATACAACAGCAGTGCTTTAAATCTAGATGAATCCCAAAACCAGTTGAAAATCGATCAGGAACCCTTTTCACACCCTTCAATGTGATATTTCTCATTCATTATTCCATTTTATCTTGGATAACAGTACCAAATCGAAAAAACTATAAAAACCGGTGCAAAAAGTATTTTTTAAAGTGTTTTTATCGATCTTTTATAAAAATAATATTTCTACACTCGTCAGATCTATCAGACCGTTCGTTTAATTCAAACTCGACCAAAATATGTCTTTTGTCGACGATGACTCGATCTGAAAATTAGAGTTTTCTAAAAAAGAACAACTGAAAAAAACAAAAATAAAGGCTTTCAAACACTGCGGTTTATCTAATGTAAAGCATTCACGTTTTCCCAATCTCGAGAAAAACCCGACCATGTTTTTTTATTTGTTCCAGACCTGTCCTGTTTTAGTCTCTGATTTATACTCTAGAATTGGTTCTTTGTTCTTCTTTCCTTAAGGTATATAACGTAAGATTATGAAATCAAAAGATCAAAAGTATTGGCGACAGGCTCGCCATTTTTCATACATCAGCTTCTAGTGTAAACTGGCGCCTTTCAGTATCTCAACTAAAGCTACAATACCGGCCGGTAGCAATTATTTTAAGACAACCTGGTACCGGGTTGTCTTAAAATAATTGCTTGATTTTTTTTTTGCATATATCTGCTCCAAAAATATAATAAAATTCTAATTATTTTCTAAAAAGGCGCGTGATTTAATTCTCTACAAATTGAATATTTTTCTATGTACCTTAACCCTTTAAAGCCCAATGTCCACTTAAATGGACATTGGCATTATCATTATCACAAACTGAGAAAGCATTGTTTGAAAAAACTAATCTTATATCGGCTGTAGAGAATAAATTGGATATCCAATGCTAAAAAATATTTTGTTTATGTTTTATGCTAACTGAGATATTTAAATTTTAAAATGAAGAATATTTCTGAAAAAATTGAATTGTTTAATTCAGGTGTTTAGGTACTTTAGGAAAAGCTTTTGATTCAAGAACTTTTCAAAAATATGTAAGTAAGTGTGCTCTTTCAATTTCTGTTAGCTGAAAAAATTATTTTTTAAACTGTTAGACTCCTGATGATACGTAACGAAAGGTCCTATTTTGCTGGGATTTCGAATTCGTTTTCTTGGTTATTCTTCTCAGACAACTCATCTGGTTATCTAAAGATGTTTGATGATTAGTATAAGATTTTTGATTATCGTTTAAATACATTATTTGTTCAACACGGACGAATTCTTACCAGCTCCAAAGCTACTTATTTGCTCTAGATGCAATCATCCGGGACATACGAAGAAATCATGTAAAAACTCAACCTATGATATTTGTAGAAGATGTGGAAGTGATCGTAACGATAAACACAACCACCATGAATGCGAAATTAAATGTCTTCATTGTAATAGTCCTCATGTATCAATGGATTATAAATGTCTTGTTATTGTTGATCAATACAGAGGAGAACTAATTTATGAATTAAGAAGGAAATCAGATAAAATGCCAGCGGATGTACTCTTGATTCTTTCTTTGAGTTTATGTTTGATATCCATACATCAGTTGAATCGATCGAAGGTAATTTACATATGGTTGATTAAAAAGGAAACCTGAGAGATTTCAACTTGCTGTCTTAGATAAAGAACGAATGTTGATTAAAAAGATGCCAATAAAAATAAAGGTTTCTTAGACAGTAAAATAACTACAGCCTTGTATCTTTTATGAAAAGTTCACATTCCTGTTGCTTTTTAAGTTTATTCCTTATAACCGATGCTTTTCTTCACGATAACATATTTGGTTTATCCGAGAATTGTAATGACCGTTATGTTTTTGTATCGACAGTCGATATAACAAGACATAACACATGGTGTCATTAAACTACTTAAAACTCCAGCACAACTTTTATTTGTATTATACTTTATCTTGTGGAGGAACAGTTGTTTCTTCAGCAAGAAAGATGAAGTTCTTGTGGAGCAACAGTCGTTTCTTCAGCAACAAAAGTTGAGGTTTTTTTTTTGAGAAACCTCGGCTTCTTTGGCAAGAAAGATGAAGTTCTTGTGGAGCAACGGTCGTCTCTTCAGGAACAAAGATGAAGTTCTTGTGCAGAAACCGCGGCCTCTTCAGCAGAAAACATACAGTTTTTATGTAGAAACATGGATTTCTTTAAGGTAAAACATGAAGTTCTTCGGGAGAAACACATAGTTCCTCCGAAAGAAACAATGATTCCTTCAAAAAGAAACATGAAGTTTCTGTGTAGAAACCCCGATTTCTTCACGAAAAATCATGAAGATTTCGCGGATGAACACTGATTTCTTTCTTAAAAAACATGTGTAGAAACACGGATTTCTTCAGGAAAGACATGAAGTCCTTTCGAAGAAACACAGAATTCTTCATGAAAAAACAGGTAGTTCTTGTGCAGGTACATGGATTTCTCCACTATAGGGTATGAAGAAACATGGTTTTCTTCATTAAGAAACGAGAAGTTCTTCTGAACAAACCAACATGAAGTTGTTGTGGAGACACAACAATTTCTTCATTAAGTTCTTGCGGACATGGAATTTTGCGTTAAAAAACATAAAGTTATTGTGGAGCCACAATTGTTTCTTCAAATAGATAGACGAAGTTCCTGTAGCGGTTTCTGCAGCAGAAAAAATATGAGTTTCATGTGGAGAAACACCGATATCTTCAGGAAAGACATGAAGCTCTTCTGAAGAAACACTGACTCTCGCAGAAAAAAACACACATTTCTTCAAAAAAACACATGGAGTTCGTGCGGACAAACACCGCTTTCTCCGTAAAAAACATGAAGTTTTAGTGGAGAAACACGGGTTTCTTGATTAACCAAAACATAGTTCTTGTGGAGAAACACGGATTTCTTCATTAAGTTCTTGAGGACATGGTTTTCTTCGTTAAAGTTCTTCTGGACAAACAGCGGTTGCACCAGCAGGAAAGATGAATTTCTTGTGGAGCAACAATCGTCTCTTCAGCCTCAAACGGCGATTTCTAGAAAGATGGAAAACATGAAGTGCTCGTTGAGACACCCTGATTTCTTCAACAAAAAGCATGAAGTTCCTGTTGAGAAACACCGATTTCTTCAGAAAAAAATAAGTTCTTCTGGAGAAAGCAACATGAAGTTCTTGTGGAAAAAACATGAAGTGCTTGTGGAGACACTCCGATTTCTTCAAAAGAAAGCTATATCTTTGATGCCATTTTATAGAGCTCGAAGAGTACTACAGATGAGAGAAAAAGAAAAGAATTTGACTGAATAATTTGTGTGCTGGGAGGTCCGAAATTTGGGTTTTTTGAAAAAGATTCTTCGAAGATGGCATGTAGAATATAATTTTTTTGCGAACAAATATGGGATTCTATGTAACATTTTATGCTCTATACGACAGGACTGTTGAAATTTTTGCGGCTGCTATGTCCGTATAAACCGAGCCGATCTGAATGGATGTACCCGAATATAAAGCTAAAAAGTTTTTTGGACACCCGCTGAAGATCTGAAGGGAGCTTGCAAGTATTTCTGATGTACGGAGAAAATGACGAAGTAAAGACTCAGAAACTAATCAAGGAACGATGTATCTTTACTACTTAAACATTAGTTTTGAAATATTTCTTCAGTGTTTTGGAGATTTCAGAAGCTTTAGTAGATCCTCTGCGTGTTATTGCAGTCGCGATTTATAAGCGGCACTCGAATCTCTTATGAACTAACATAAATTCTAGGTTGAAACCCTTCAGAAGGTCCTATCTGTTTTCTGGTTCTTGAATTTAAGTCGTTTTAAAAGTTTTGTTTCAGATTCTCATTAGAAACACTGATGGACAGCAACTTTAATAGATGACTTCACACGACTATGTTGGAGAAAAAAAATGAGACAGTGAAAGAGTTCTGTCCAAACTGAATTATTTTTTTAGAAATAAAGCAAATGTATAAAACACGAACAGTTTTAGCACCGATAAAGCCGTTTTGGGACTTTTCTTACCGACCTTGCCTCTTATGTTGATAAAAGGTTTTTTGGTTTTTAAATAGTCTTAGAGAAAGAGTTCGATCTCTCTTGTTCTGAAATCGATATGAGCTCTCACGTTAAAAACAAACAAACTTTGCGATGCTCATTTTGCAATGAAGTTGTAAATAAGCAAAGATTTTCGTTGTTTTTTTCTTATAAAACAACGTCTGCAGTCAATCGATTGAGCCCGATAACTTTTTACAAACCTCGATAGAACAATGGTTTTTATTTTTATTGGCGATCTAGTAAAAAAATTACTCCATCTGCTTAGAGACTTATAATGCAAAGTATAGGCTTATGCCTCTGGTCGAGAGGTTTTGTCGGATTGAATTTTGTAACGTCCCATAGTACTTTAATATTTCTATGTCAAATGTTTCACTTCTGATTTTTTCTTGTTTCATTTCAGATCTTCAATGCCTAATAAAATTCTAGTCAGATATTTGAATATGAAAACAAAACAACAAGAAGGCAAGGACTACAACATCGATTTAACCAATGATGGACGATTAAATATTAATTTATTAATGGAACTGTTCGATCTGAAGGTGGTTTTCATGTGTGATTCGAGTTGTGAGAGACATGATGTTCTCGTTCCTGATCTGGATGGGATGTCAATTCGTCCATTCAAACGTGCGGAAATTGTTAGACTTTCTGTTTCAGCGTATGAAGCTGTAATTAACATTACAGGACCGAAGAAAGGTATGGTTTTTTCTGCTGAATGGACATAACGAAAATTCTTTTTTTTTCGGGGACCGAACATTGGTCGAGACGACCCCTTTTCAGGTTTTTTCAATGGTGTTTTAGTTCAGTAATTGTAGCGGGTGCAAATCTGGTTTTGTCTGCGTTTTTTAAAAAGCGATGTGCTGTATGTAACACAACTTTGCCTACTTGAGCCAGTTTTTTTGGCAAAGTTGTATTGTTTTTTGTGGTTGGTTTTGTTGTTATTTTTTTTTTGTGTTTTATCAAAAGTGAAAAATGATTGAAAAAATCCTTTTTCTCAAAGAGAAAGACAGATATCGACCTTATTCTTTTTTCATTGGATTAAGCAGCCCTTTAGCTTCATTTTTATATATAGTGCAAGAAATTTTTCTTTTGTTTTAGCTGATATGAAATGCGTTCAGCAGAGATGAAGTACTCAATGCCCTTTTTTCATTTTCGGCCATTTTGTGAGAAGTGGTGTGCGCTTTCAAATGTAGTAGGCTACGTTTTGAGTAACAGCATTTATATTACTCAAGCATAGCATGTAATGTCGGCTACAAAGCGAAAAAATTGGGCTGACATCAGTGACTACTAAAAAATCATTTTCCAGGTGATACACCGAAGGTGTACACTTCGTACCTCTGAGGTGGTACAAAAGGCCTCAAACCCTTTGGTGGGGATAGACGCTGCTGTTCTAAATCTATTCTACGGTGATGTTTTCTGAGCTGACTAGTTTTGTAAAGAAATATATTAGTTTTTTCTGAATGAAACTTAGAGTATACCTAGAGAGTGAATGGGGAAAAGTCGATGAATAAAGCATTTATAAGACGCTTCGAGAGTCTCCTTCGATATTTTGACCAATAAATCGAAGCATCTTGATAAGATTATCGCAGTGTCTTTTTTATTACGTCTGCTGTATTAGGTTATTTTTTACAGTGCTACGATATTATTGTAGTTTATCTTGACCGTTATTGTATTAGTTTGAAATTATCTAGCGTTTCATTCATGATTTTTTCCCTGTAAAAAGTATAACAATGCTATGGTGAGAGTGTGACTCATAGATGATGCTTAAGGTTGGCGATTCATTCGATTTATCGAGATTTTCTGATTCCTTATCTTTCTTTGTACAGTCTCTGATTTTCATCTAGCGCTATATCCAAGAATATACCCTGAAACCAGCAGCAGCGGTTCAGATCAGAAACAGCGGGACTTAAATAGTTTTATTTAGATCATTTCTGTTAAAAAATAACTCGGCGAATACCTAATATGAGACGTAAAAGAGAAGTTAAGTAGGTTTTTGTGCACTCAAATGCCAACAAAATAAAGAATGAGAATAATAATTCAACGATGAAATTCAAAAAAGATAAAATGTCAGTTCAGATACAGAAGATGATCTGAGAACCTCTCTGAAATCAATGTCGAAACAAGCATTAAACGAAACAAATATACACAGAAGAGATATTAATCACAAACATGTACATTGATTGTTTTGATCGTATTTTTTTTGTTCATAAAAGTAAAAAGAAATCGGTACTCTGTACAGATTGTTGAGTTCTCTTTTTGTTAGTTAGTGGATTCTTCTGTTCCATTTTCAGTTTTTAAGAAAGCATTTAGCATAATCTATTTTTTGGACACTGTTTTTACTCGTATGGAATAAAACAATTTTTTTTCTATATTTTAGATTAAAGTACAACAATATGATTTCTTCGTGTTTTTGAGCACAGGAATTTTAAAAGTATTTGAGTTCAGCCTATTCAAAGTACATATTTTTCTCATCATACAATGATCTGCATTCACTTGTGTTCATTATCATCTTCAAAAGTTATATCATTTCCGCAACAACACATAGCACACCACAATGATGAAAATCGTCCATTATTTTATCAGTTCTTGTCCATGTTTATTTAAACAATGGTTTTTAATTGGAAACGAAAACGCAGAAAGAGAACAAGTGAAATATCTGCTTTTATCAGCATGTCTCACTATTCTAGTTTTATTGTTAACGATTATTATCGCTATTGGTTTTAGTTATTTTCCATTATTTATAGCAAAACTAAGTAGTAATCGAGATTTACTAATACTTAACGATTCATCATTATTGAATGATCATGTCAGTACTACACGTTCATTGAGTCTATTGCGTACAGAACATATTTTTTTTCCAACAACTTCAAGTAAATCATATTATGAACAACATTCCTCGTCACAAAAATTCAAACAACAAAATGATTTACAAATACAACAGCAAGAGACTCAACAATATTTCGCTGGAAGTAAAACGAAAAAAAAGATTTCCAGTGGTATGTAGAAACAGAAAAGTAATATCTGAAATAGTCATTTTCGTTGAAGAATTATCCTCTTTTGTCGAATTTTAATATAGAAAAAAGATTCGAGAGGCTGATATATCTTTCTATAAAGGTAGTTTTGATCATAAATTGTCTTCATAGGGATGATATTTCATACTTTGAAAGATAAATGTTATCTAGGTTTTTTAGCAATTGTTTTTTGTTTCTACAACTGCTAACGTTGGTTAAATTTTAATACAAAACTTCAAATTGGAAAAAAACCTTCTTTCGATAGATGTCTTGTTTTACGTCTTAGAATCGGGCAAAGACAAACATAGATCATTAATCATTTTGACTCTCATGTTGATGTAAGTTTTTATGGTGGAAAGAATGATCAATAGTCTTTGCATACGGTACTGTGCTTTTTTTTTCAAAAAAGTGGAAAGAAGGACGGAAGAATACCCCGCCTTTCGGCTACCTTGCGATATAGGGTGCTGTCCCGAGCCCCCCATGGCAAAAGTTTTTTTGCGTAGTTACTCAAAAACATAAGTGGCATAACGCAAAAAATGGTTACAAATGCGACATTCTGCAAAATTCTGTATATTCTTCTAGAACAAAATAATATTTTGTTTGAATTTTGCAGAATGTCGCATTTGTAACCATTTTTTGCGTTATGTCACTTATGTTTTCGCATTCTTTTTTGCGTTATTCACTTGATTAACGCAAAAAATAGTTTTGGTTTTGGCGACATGGGTAGTTTTGTAAGCCCAATATCTTCCCTATAACTAATACTGGCTGTAGCTCTGGACAGAAGACCAGCCTGACTCAGAGTTCTTTCACTCAATCGCTTGAGCACATACTGACTAACCATATGCTAGCCACGCGGGCTGGTATATGTCACAACGTACTCAGCATGCTATCGGACGGGTGATCCGAGGCAAACAACCGTTAATGACTTGCCCACGGTCATTCCATGTCTGGTGGCGCCGAGCACAGTATCTTGGGGGTACGTGTCAAACAACTTAACAACTGTTGTTTTCAAAATCAATTTTTATTTCTTTTCTCTTGTTTAAACCTTCTATACACGGTGTACCACACAGCCATAGCGGCTTATCAAAAAAGTGGCCTGTTCATTTACCGCTTAACATTTTTATTTTCATCTACCTTAGAAGTCATAAGCATCTTGCCAGTTTCCTAGATAGACTCCATCTTCAACTAAAAATATATTTGGTTTGATGTTTTCGTAGATCTCAACTTTTTCTAGTGAAGAAACGAGTTAGCGGTAACAGTTATTATTAATTTTATTTAGATTTACGTATTGAAGCTGAAGCTACATTACACTTAGCGTTACGTTTGGTTGTCGAAGATAAATTAGATAAAGCGCGAAGATTATTTGAACATTCATTAACATTAGATCTACGCAATATTGGTGGAATATGGACAATTCCTTGAGAGACATCATAACGATTTATTACAGGTAGTATAATAATAGATTTAAAACAATGTAATTTAAATATTTATTTTCTAGGCTGAACATTATTATACTCGTGCTTTGACAACTCATCCTACACATCTTCGTGCATTAGAAAATAAACGTCGTTGTCTACCGTTAGTAGAAGAAATTGATCAAAAAACATTTCAATTTATTGATCAATTGTTAGCAGAATTTTATCGTATACCGGATACTAATCCATATTTGAGATGAGCAAAACGGGATGCCTATTATTTACATATTTATCATTCAAATGCTATTGAAGGTACCGTTACTCTTATTAGGTCAGATAATACACAGTCTATCACAAAAACTGTTTTTATTTAAATCCATTTTTGACTATTTTCATGAAAAATTAAAAAGTTCATAACTCGGTCAAAAAACATCCAAACTACTTCAGAGTATCAACATATACTCTGTTTTATCCACTCAGTGTGATTCTGTACTTAAGATCACTAAAACATATTCTGTTGGTTCCGAAGATATCTGGAAAGCCTTTCAACAACCAAAGTATTTTCTGTTGGTTTTTAAAATATTTACTCAACTTCACTACAAATAAAATAGGGTATATATTGATATTCTGATGGTTTTTGACCGAGTTATGAACTTTTTAATTTTTCATGAAAATAGTCAAAAACGGATTATTCCACCTAGTATAGGTTTTCACCTGGTTCTTCTATTTTAGTTTGAAAACTAACATTGCCATGAAATTTAGCATAGTCGATAACCGATGTTTGGAGTTGATTCTAAGGTTGTCAGACCTAATCGGACTGAGATAGATAGGTCCCAGCAAAATTGCCCTGAATTCGACAGGCTGATAGCTAGCAGCCTCGGACCTGCGTAGCTTTGCAGAGGACACTTTGAGCTATTCAACCGTATACTATGAGGGAAAAAATTATTTGGGCTTCGGTACCTGGCAAGCTCTTGTTTTTTCGCATGTCAGATACACCGCCTGAAAATCCAATTCGTAAAAGCCCTCATATATCAAAAGATGCAGTAAAGCCTCCTCTACAAAATGTTGAAAACTGTAGGTCTCTACCTCTCTTCATTCTGGAGTTATTCAAACAATAGCTACGGACACTATATTTTGAAATGGATAGTAGGTTATCATCATCCGATACTTTGGAGATCTCCATGGATTCATATGCAGTTTTGAGTGCTCTATCCGATGGAGGCTTTGGATTTCAGTAATCAGCTTTTATTTTTTTCCAAAACGAAAGTTTTTCAAAAAAATCAAAAACCCGATATATTGTATATCCCGATCAAACGCGATTTTTGAACGAATTTTTATGCAGTACCCGAACGATGCACATAGCCGATCCCCATGGAATGTGAATCAGTTTTGAATCCTCTTTCGAATGGTATTGTCCGTTTTTTATTTGGTTGTTAAGCGGAGGCCAGAAAGACGATTGATCGATTATATATCCCGATTCGAATCTTGATTATATCCCGATCAGGATTTGTAGCCCAATCGGGATAATCGTATAGGCCGATCGGGATAAATATTCCGTTCGGGATATAAGTCATGACTACGCACTGTATGTCGTAACTATTCATCAGCATGCCCAACATTCTCCAAAACTTTACTCCGATCAGACTAGTGGCACCGAGATCGATTTCTGACCTAGGAGGGGAAAGTGCTTTAACCTAAAAAATAATAATGGGCATTTTTCTCATTACAGAACAAAGTCAGTGACAATAAGCCGTCTGAAAAGGAATTTACCGATTGCCAATCATCCTCAGTCCTATCGAGCATACCATTTAACATTTTTTATTCTGAAAAGTCTGGTATAAATTATTTGACATTAGTGATCGGTGATCGTAAAAAATTTAGAAGAACTTTTCATTTTAAGGATCATTCTGTGGAATTTGTTATATTGGATTTAGAAAAAACCAAACGGTTAAATATGAATGAATATATTGATATTCCGTTTGTATTCCATCTAGAATTTCCATGTTCAGTTATAGAGTTTGAAATAATTCGTAAATTAAATGATAATCTACCATGTGAAAACAATGAAACAGCCGAAGATCTAGCATATAAACAATTACGAAAGAACAGTTTTTATAAACAATATTTAGACACTTTGATAATGAATGATGAACATTTATTTCAATTATATTATCATGATCAGTTATTGTTATTTTTAAATGAACACAAAATTCAATTATCAGTCGATTTTGTTTTTCAACTACTCTCATCTAAAAATTTAATGAAAAAGCCCATTGATCGTATAATTTGTATTTAGTTTATCAAAGTGAACTTAAAGAAATATTACGAATATTTGAATTAAGTACATATCTTTTACATGACGATATTAACACATTAGTAAAAGATATATATAATGCCGATGTGCCAAATTGTTTTTTGATAAAAACAAATTCTTTGTATACATTAATATCGACTAATAATTATATCTATCAAATTCCACCCAATACAATTATATCTACTGTCAATGATTTAAACGGATGATTTAATTTTTAAGTCTGATAATCCATTAATTGAAAATAGTTTAATGAATCTGATTGAGACAATTGTAGCACCAAAATACATGGATCAAATCTCTAATATTAAAAATATTTTAACAACATATAATCGTATTAGCCAAGGTATATTGAATCTTCAACGATATGATGTTAATAAGTTAGAAAAACTCTCTCTCGACTAAAGCATTAAAATCAACAAAATATTCTACATTTATGAGCAGTATCTTGTTTGATAGTAATTTACAAATGCCATGAAAATTATGTACAACATATGTCATCAAGATATTTATTTGGACTAGTTCCTAATGTCAATCATATTATTACTCAGATGCGTCGTGTTAAAAATGAAGTACAACAACGATTAAATAGTAAACAAATAATACCAGAAGGAAAATTTATCTATCAATGTTCAAAGAATTGTTATTTTATTTATTATTTTGAAGATTGTGGAATGCCAAATGATCGTTCAAGATGTCCGCTCTGTAACAGTGATATTGGTTCAATTCAACGTGGTTCATATACATTATTTCAACGTAATCCACCACACATAGAAATGTCTATTGCGAATGGATTTCGTGTTATTGATGAATATATAAATAAATATAATGAAACAAATCGTTTTGGCTATTATGTTAATCCAACACGAGCAGATAATTCAGTACTTAGTGAAACTATTGATCATTTAAAATCCATAACTTATCGTTTATTACATATGTTTACACATACAATTATGATGATGTTATATGAATTAAAATATTTACAACAAAATTCTCAAAATCGACATCCGATTGATTATTTTCGAGAACATTATGAAAAAGATTATCAGTTAATTTGAAACATAATTGGTAAACAAGAAGATTGTCAAATTTGGTTATATAAACTGTTTAATCATTTTTTAATTCAAAACATTCATCTAAATGGTATATTAGATACAAACATGAAAATTCTTCAATTTGAAAAACATATTGAACAAACAATTGTATTTCTACATATAGAATCAATACCAAATAAAATTAAACAATATCGATTAGCATATACGGAATTTATACGCGAACGAAATTCAGAACCATCATTCAATGATTATATTCATGAATTAGTTGAAAATGAACAAAAATATCCATTATTAAGTTTTTTTACTGTAACAAGAAGTGATAATGATATTAATGATGAATTTTGTTCAAAATTTTATTTATTACGTTATGAAAATGTTTATCCTATAACAGATTTTGTTTTAAAACATTTAGTCCAATTTGAAATTATTCAACTAGCATATCCAATTGTTAATTTTACAAATTATTTATTACAAAAATATAATCATCGTTTATTACGTAATGAAGCAGCAACAAGTGATATTCAATATTATTTAACATCAAATGATGAACGTCAAGTATCTGAACAATTTTGTCAAGCATGGTATCGATTAACATTAAATGAAATACGATATAATTGTCAAATAATTAAATTTTCTCGTGAACAATCCATTGAACAATTTTCTAAGTCAACAAAATTGGCATTTTTCTTATTAAATGCGTCAAAAGACAATAGTAGTATAGCTATACTAGGATGTTTACAAACATTAGCTAAACTTCAAAATACAATTGTCAATTATTATCGACAAATCGATCAACCGGTAAATGAACTTATTGAAGATGAAAAAAACGTCTACAACTTATACAACCATTAACACCAGAACACTTATTAGAATTAAATTCCGAAATAACGTTTGATTTATTAAATAATGATGGTTTTGTTATGAATTATGAATATGGTAAAACAAAAGAAATCTTATACGATTATGATGAAATTGAAATTAAATTAAGAAATATGATTAGTAAACTACGTTTAATTGATACAGATAAACTTAATTTTTTCAATTATCAGTTTGAATTATACAGGGTGCCACATAACCTTTGTCTCCCCCCTTTAATGTTTAAGCTTATTAATTAATTATATCTAAAAATGATGGAAAACACTCGGGAGCCTACTGTCAAAAACGGTTGGCGCACCTCGAAAAAACCTGAAACTTTTTCTTTTAAAATCCATCGAATTATATGCCATTCGACGCAGAATTTCATTCTGCAGCTGAATATGTATAAATAAAAATTCCACAGTACATAGGAAGGGAGAAAAACGCCAAAAACTTCGAATTTTCCAAGGTTTTCCACCTTTTGCTGGACTAAAATGCTTTTTTATTCAAAATAGGCTTTCTTATACTTCATCCGACGCACAATTCAGTGCTGATTCCGAAT